GGAGGAAGACACCAGCTTCCCAAGCAGGCCCTGAGTCCCCTTCTGGGCCAGCATGGAGGTGGCCCAGGCTGCACATTGGCAGGAGGGACCCTGGAGAGGCCGGACAAGGCATCTCTGGGGCTTCCTTCACAGGGAACAGAGGAGCCAGGAGCCCATCTCCAGGGGCCAGCAGGAGCCATCCACCTGCCTGGCCATGGAAGAGCCCCCAGCCGGAGATGGGTGAGCCCTGCTCCAGCACAAGCAGCTCTTCCTCCTCCCGAGGGGCCAGCAGCACCTCAGTGGGGTGTGAGCTCTGAGCCTGCAGGCTCCCCCTTTGCAGGGGTGTCTGCCCTGCCCCTTGTTCCATCCCCACCCTCACAGGGGGGTCTTGTCCCAGAAAAGCCCTCACCCTGTTGGTTAAATATCTGGGCCCCTTCCCTCCAGAAGGTTCCCTCAGGTTCATCCTGGCCTTCCCTCCTCATTAGGTGCTCTGCGGGCAGGACTCCATGCGGGTGCCTAGCTCCCATTTTGTACTGTTCGGCTGCCCCACACCCTGCTGAGGACTAAGCGCTGTGCAGAGAATTGCTAAGGGCAAAGATTGAAGAGCCAGCAGGCCTCTGGCCATGAACTCTTGCTAAATGACCATGGAAGCAGGGCTGGATTAGTCTTCCCAGGCCCTATGCACTTTTATAAATGTAGACCTTGAAATTAGATTATATAAGGGAGAAATGCCCTATCGCCTATATGCTTAATATCGCCCACTTTAATTTTCAGTCTTGTAAAAGGCACGTCGTGTGAACAATTCATGGTACTTCATTCTAAAATAAGAAGGTGTGACCAGAGACAGAAAAGCACAGTCACATACCGGGTGAAGAAAGCGATCAGGGGAGCAAGTAGGGACAGGTGGTCATTTTACAGTCTTAACAAGCATGGAGACTGCACCAGGAAGCCTTCCTGCCTCTTGAGATAGGGGAGCTGCATGTTGGGAAGACTGCAGGGCCTCTACAGCTCAGCAAGAGAGATGCTTTCTTTGGGCTCACCCCTCAACGAATGCAATTCGAAGGTTTACCGGAGTATAAAAAGAAAGGGGAGAACCCAAAACGTATCTGTCTCTTGAGTGACCAAAGAAACCAGCACTTTGACTCTGTAAGGCAATGTCTACACTGGCAGCTTCTTGCGCAAGAACAGCTGTTCTTGCGCAAAAACTTGCCTGCTGTGTACACTGCACAAGCGTTCTTGCACAAGTAAATTTGCAGTACAGCATTGTAAAAGAGGGTTTCTTCCAGAAGAGTTATTTCTTTCCCCATGAGGAATAAGCCTTCTTGCGCAAGAGCTCTTCCATAAGACGGCAGTGTAGACAGGCAACATGAATTTCTTGTGCAAGAAGCCCCTATGGTTAAAATGTCCATCACAGCTTTCTGGTGCAAGAGCACATCCACACTACCATGGATGCTCTTGCACAAAAGCATATCTTTTCCACAAGAGCACATCCACACTGCCATGTGCTTTTCCGCAAGATTTTTTGCACAAGAACTCTTCTGCAAAAGAGTTCTTGCGCAAGAAGCCACCAGTGTAAATGTAGCTTAACAGTGGCTCCTAGCTAGAACAACCAGT